GGACCCGGTTTAATGGATAAAGCGGATACATATTGGAGGATAAGCCCACTAAGACATCTAAGCCCAACGATAGGGGTCAAGCCCAACTGGGGCCCAAAAGGTACACCCCCCTATAAAAGGGGGGCCAAGGTACCTCACTCCTTGACTCCCTCTATTCATTACATTACTACACTTTCTCTCTCTGGAGCTGAGCACTGACTTAAGCATCGGAGGCCCGACGCCGGGGCCACCCCCGACGTTGGGTTCTGCAGGTACGGAGGCCGGTTCGAGTTGAAGGAGCCCGGGTGAAACATATTCACTTCAGTCGTTATTGTGCAAGCCATGAATTAAGTTCTAAAATTTAAATCTATGCGCAGCCGAACTAAGGTTTAGCGTAGAATTCTTACGGCTTAAAATTGCAGATTCTGAGACATTGTAAATTTTTGTTGATGGAGATTTGTTGATTTCAGTACATGCAAAAATCACCTCGTCGGAGTCTCGGGATCACCGGTGGTCACGCGGGGCTCGACTACATGTGGGTCGTGCGCGGTGGTCATCAGGGCTGGCACGCGAGCAGGTCGTGCGCGTCTCGACTGGGGGAGTGCTGACATGCTGTGGTATGCAGAAGTCGTCAGGGCCTCGTCAACCTCAGAGCCTTCTGCTATATTACTTGACACCTCTCCGGTTGTCTTCATGGGCAACAAGATCGGAGACCATTCGATTGGGAACTACGATTGCGCAACAGAAACTGCGAGCACATGCTGAACTCTTATCAAGCGCAGGGAGAAAACAAGAATATGTATGTGAGAATTTTTGCAAAAGTGGAAAATCTAGCAATGTGGGCTAAGGCATCCTTTTATAGTTGGAAAGAGAAGGGAAGCAAAGGGGTCGGTTGATCTCAGCCACATGATTAAAGTGAAGGCGAACGAACCAAGATCAATCTCGCATTAAATGAGGCGCACTACGCGAGATCCGCATGGACTACGAAGCGCCAAACGACGGGACGTTTGGACTGAATCAGGCACGTGACGACAAGATGGTTGGACGGGACAAGTGCCGACGCATGGCAGCCATTTGAAATTAAAATTTAAAAAAGGAAATAGCCTGGCAAAGGGCCTAATAAAAGCGCGATCATAACTCCAGAGCAAGGATGGAGCTCGAAGAGGACATCAAGGATGCGAGGGTTACCAGCATGTCGAATGGGGCCCCTTAGATGGCCTGATTGAAATTAGACCTAAAAGAGCACCTGGTCGAAGGGTCGACCAGGTGAGCATAACAACAATGTTTGACATCGATGATACTCCACCTCTAGATAATAGGGGTCAGTCGTACGATTAGACTGTTTAATGAAGAAGTCTAAATAATAAGAAGGAATATTCCTGAGGATTAACATAGCTTAACAGAATTGGGCAGTTGAGACAGTCCGGGCAGCTAGGGCAGTCTGGGCAGCCCACGTGTGCAACTTGGGAAACAAAGTATTATCTCCCTATATAAGGGTGTGGTATGTCCTGAATTACATTATACTCTTTACATGCTCTTATACTGCACTTCATCTTCTACAAGTGCTAACTTAAACTTCAGAGGCTCTTCAATGGAAAACCTCTTCGATGTGATAGTTTTGCAAGTCCAAAGACGTTCGAACTCAATATCTAGCCATTTTCAGTCGTTTCCCACAGTTCATAGATCTTTACACACCACAATCAGTTATGCAAGAAGTAGATTTTGAGAGAGATAAATCCATTCACCACAAATTAAAAAGAAACATTACAACAAACTTACTTTATTTCGGGAGGTTCGCCTCAAATACACGTGCCATGTTTAGAGTACGAGTGATATCATCAAGTCTAGTTTATTTAGTAGGTCAATACAAAATAAGCTTATTTTTGTGGTCCAGTTCGATGCACACAAAATTATACAAGTATAATTTATTAGTTAAAATAAACTAAATGAAATTATATTATAACCATAGCAATAAGTACGTCTATTTCTGTCTTCTTTACGAATGTCCATTTCTATCTTGGTTACGAACCTTATCTATATTGTACA